GGGGGGGGGCGTCGCAGGGGAATTAGTGCCAAAACGAGAAGCAAAATAGCAAAGTCACTACAGTAGGCCTACTCGATACCTTGTGTTAGACTCGATGTTGTAGGAAGGCATTGCACATATGATAATGTGAGTAAATACAGCACAGCCATGTAGCCAGCAAATCGTATATGCTCCTGTAAGATCCAGGTTACTAATGCCATCATCGTCATCAGTTCTTAGTGACGTCGATACCCTGGGAAAATTATTAGAAGGCGAGGTAGTTACGGTAAAGTTTACTTTATTTTGATTAATGACATAACATGTAGATTGTCATAACATAGTGAGTAGAGACCACATGTTAGCAATGTGGTTTGTTACTATTTATCTGTATACATTATAATGTAATCGAAAACCAAGCAGCGAACGATCTGAAATACACGTTTGTGTATTGTAATTTTTCCACACATAGATAGTACATTTTCAAAATAAATTTCGTTCTTAATAAAATGAACAGGTAATGGTATAACAGTATTTTAAACTAAATATTAAGGATGACAATTCATGTTTCATTCAATAATTATTTCATTTCATTTCATTTATTTATTCGACGAAAAAAAACAATACAAGAATTAGAAGAAACAGTAAAACAAATGGTCAGGAAAAACTAAAGCGACAAAAGTCACTATGACTCAGGAGTCAGTAATTCCAACATAAAATAAATCTATATATTATATTCATTATTATGAATGTAAAAAGTGTATGTGAAAGTATGATAGGCCTGTGTGTGGATGGATCAATACAAAGTTCAATGAACTTTAAGCTATGAACACCAGTAAAATATATCAACAACATATTCGGAGTATAACGGTAATCAAATATAGTAATAAGAATCATAAGATTAAAGGAGAATCAATGTTTAATTGCGGGAAAAATTTAAAAAAAAGTGGGGGTTGGGGTAGGCGGATCTTTAAATTAATAGCTTGTAGATAGAACTTAAATAGAGAAAAGCGTGACGTAGATATTAAACATACAAGGAGATTAATTTAAATTGAATTTAAAGGTCATACGCTGAAGAAGACAGTACAGGAGCTGCTGAAAATTTGGTTAAAACCTGTAGACACTTATGTCTCAAAATACGTGTTTTTAATAATTTGATAATTTATTTCCGTCCCTTCAACTAACAAACCGAAAATTTCGTACCAATAAAATTCAATGTCTCAATTAAGTCAAAGTGTCTTGCAGTACTGTCATGTCTGTCAACCATTCTATAACCGAGGCATACGTGGAATAGCATTAATTGCATCAATTTCATTGATAAGAGTGGCTGTCTCTTATACACATCTAGATGTGTATAAGAGACAGACCTACATTTGATATAGGTGTCCTGTATATGCAACGTGTAGAGAGGACCATTGAGGCAGTGAATACACACACTGACAATATGCACTTAGGCGACTGTGTATTTGATCAGACCATGCCTTGGGGATTTGAACCAAACTCTTTAGTGGTTCAAAAATAATATGAGGTGAACCAATACAGCTGTTAGATATAATTGGAATTTCATTAATAAGTGTAAAATGATGGCATTTAACTGCAGATGAAAAACTAGACGTGAACGCCATATTTAATCAATAATAGGGTAGAAGTTCAACCTCGTATCAACGCTATAGATAGATGATTTCGCATCCTTGCCTCATTCAAATAGGAAACGTACCCACCTAATCATTAGTTTTTACGCTTATTACGATAATGTAATATAAGTCTAGCCCCAGGACGTTGGTTTACTGCCGTTCACATTAGGTATGCTATTTGGAAAGACTGTACATTCATCTCATCATTATATAATATGAAAGTAGCAGAGTTGGTTAATCGGAAACGTAGGCCTAAACCTTCTCCCTCCATCCCCCCTCCCCCGTGCTCATAGTTGGCCAATTCTGTACGGCAATAACTGTGCCGCGCTTAGATTTGAACAAAGACAAATTGAGTGTTAGTTGTCGGAGTCAAAGTCATTTAGAACTCCTCAGAGGGATCAGGAGGGGGTGGACCCCCTGAGAGCTCCAACATTGTTGAGATTTTAAGACCTATTTAAATCGATTTAGAGTCTCAATATCTGTAAAAAAATTACATGGAAAATGTTCCACCAAGATTTTGCATAGAGAAAATAGTACTCTCCAGAAGGGTGTGGTGAGGAGGCTGTCCCCTGGACCCAAAAAGCGATACCACTGACGGTATTGTATGCATATTATGTGTCTTCACCGTCTGCAATTATAAAAATTATAAATGAGAAATTCTACCTGTAGGCCTACCTCTTGGATGGGGAGTAGAGTTACGTTACCCAGGCTTGTCTGGCGTTAAAAGCGTAAAAGCATGGCGATAGGGGTAATTACACATATGGTAATTATAAACATTTAATTGGTCTCAATATTATGGGATGGTTAATAATTAATTATACTAATGATTTAGAATTAGAACAATTATGCCATTAGATCAATAAAATTTAGCCTAATAATTAAATAATTCGATATATCCAATACTATAAAGTAGGCCTACGACAGTCAATAATTGAATTTACCAACCCGAGTTACGTTCCTCAGATATAGGCCTATATAATATGATACGGATAGGCATATTCATAATATTGTTTAATGTTCGAATGGTGAATAAACAAAAGTAGTTGCACGTACAGTGCTGTTGTAGAAAACTTTGCTTCTCAACACATTTCTTTACGTGGTCTACAGCAAATTTATACCATCATAATTATATATACGGTACAGATATGTTTTTATTTTCTGAATAAATGTGATGTGTGCTATATGTATTACTTGACTATATTGTTATTATTAGACTTTAAAATGTGTAAATGTTATGAAAGCAACAGTACATATCTTAACTAGACAACTCAGGTCCTTCTGTACTGTGAATATAATGGCAAAGTCAGTGGCGTACAGTTTGTCATTACGTGGTTTGTGGGGTTTGTTGTTTGTGGTGTGTCAGGGTGTTTGTCAGTGCTTCGAGTGGTCATATGTGTCGATCATATTGATTATTTTGTCATAATAAGGCCTATATACAATAATAATAATAATAATAATAATAATAATAATAATAATAATAATAATAATAATAATAATAATACTGTTCAGCTTGTATACGGTACCGCATGACATGACGGTAACAGTAATATTATTGAATACATTAAGTAATCAAAGTTTTATGGCATAGGCCTATGCTTATCACTTTGACCATCACGTTTGGCAATATAGCTAATATTACTGCAGAGGGAACAAATATGGTTATTACGATGGCAATTGATGTCGAACCTCTGATTAATGACGTCACTTAGACGTGTCTTTATGTGACACTTGCAGAACGTGCTTTTGTAGTGGTGGTGCTTGATGTTTAAGACCACTCATTGAAATAACCTCATTGCGGTATGTTTAATAGTGCACTTCGTGACCAATGAATGTTTTTGTTTAAAAGTGCGTGTTGTCTGATGTTATTACTTTTAATTGAAACCGTTCATCTGTCAACCTGATTCAGAAGTACTAGGCTTGTTGAATTTAGCAGCCCATTTGCTTTATTCATCCAAGCTGTTCCATCCAAACCAGTCCGTGTCAAAGAATAGTAGGCCTAGATGTAGGCCTAATAGGCCTACGTTTGCATCTATAGTCCCTCTGATTCACATGCAACATCTAGTTTGCATACCTCCCTGGATCTAAGCATATATTTGCCATCTTTCTGATCCAATCCAATGGATGATCCATCTGCGTCTCTGATATCAGATGGATATTGCCTAAGCCTAGCACCTTATTAGGTCTATTATTATTCTTGAAAAAAAAAAACCAAACAAACAAAAAACAAGAGTACAATAGAGTGGTAGTATACATATGCGGAATTGAATTTTACCATTCTACTAAGCCTCGTTCCTTGGATTATGTTAAGTGGCACATACAAAACGATAGGTTAACGCGCGTACACTCGTGCGTTTGTGGGACAAAGCATGAGTGTTTGTGGGACCAGGGGTGGCGCCAGGACCCCGTTGGGAAGAAAACCCACAATTCTTCGGGGAGAAAAAAAAATTATATATATTTTCTACATATTAGCAGACTCCAAAATCGATTAAATAAGCCTTTGAAACCCCTTATATTGTCACGTGTTTTTTTTTTTTTAGGCTTCGAACACTTTCGAGAGATTATGAGTGACCACTCTCACTTTTTCTTTTCGCCGGGGTCATCGGCCCCCGTCGGGGACCTCGGACTCCCCGTCGGGCAAATCTTGGTGCCACCACTGTGTGGGACAAGTCTTTCTAGATCTGTTCTGATTCGTCCGTTGCCAAGTTTGATTGAAACTTCTGAAAGCTCAATTATAGCATGGTACTGAGCAAACTTCACGAAATAAATACAGTAACCCACGAAATAAACTAAATTATAACATCATAGAGAATTTCTTCTAATAGAACAACCCTTAACAATTCATATTATCTTTTAAACTAATTATGTGTATTACACACCGTTGCAATATCTATCCTCGTTTTTCATCCTGTGCTACGCATAGCTTGATTTCAATAAATCACTACGCGCTATCACCGACAGCGTCGGGGACTGCTCATATGCAGTACAACGATTGCAGTGTAGCGATTTCATGGAAACCAGACTTATATATTCTTTCAGAAAAAAAACATAAACGTAACACATTCACACTTTTTTTACTGTTTAATAAATAACTCTTCTTTGAAATGTCTTTATGGAATTGATATAACTTTAGTGTCCAACTGGGTTTGTATTGATGGTTTAAGAGTAAAGTAAATACGGCAATCTATTAGTACTCTGCAAGCCAGTTAGCAATATCCACATGCATTATATGTTCACGTGAAAGGTTATAAAGCCGTGCAAATACACATTCCATTATTCTCCGCAAAGAGAGATAGGCCTACATTTGAGAAAACGCTAGCCAGATTTGTGTATCACTGTGTATAACTATTATGATGTCGCTACTGTTTATAATCTGTATACAATAATTATTTGAACTATGATTATTTCAATATTAAGGGGCCTACCGCAAGATATTATTATCATATTTAATGATAATTTCCCTCCATTTTAGGCTCACGGTAGGCCTGCAGAGTGAGACATACCGTACCGGGTCTCGTTCGTCTTGGCCATATTTTTGATGAATCATTATTTAAACATTATTAACTCCCGTTTCAAATACATTGACGTATATTCAAATTAATGTTTAAAGTAACATTTAATGGCATACACAAGTGCTTAGGTCTGCTCTTGTAGTAGGCCTACAGGTGCCTCTGATCAACAAAGGTAATAAATGACGTTAGAATGCAGTCAGAACGCTACTTTATAATGTCTAGGCTTATTGAGAGTCTAAAGTGGCGCTTTATAGAAACGGGTATGGTAGAATGACATTACCAGAGTACATGCATGCATGAATAAATGAATGAATGAATGAATGAATAGTTGGATGAATGAATATAATAAATGACTTAATACATGAATGAACGAATTAATGAATTGATGAATCCATAAATTTAAATATAGTGTGACCTATGGTTTTCTGGTATCGTACCACACAAATGACAATAAATCTGACGGTTGTGGGTTCGATTCACATGCTGACATATACATTACTACTGCTAAAGGTTTATGGGCCAAAAGATATGCTCAAATTTGTTCTGACGCAACAAATATCTGATATTTATTTTATACCTACTATCATATTTTACTATTGATTAATGGCCATTCTGTTAATTATCGAGTCTTTCCCATTCATTAAATGAAAAGTATAAGTTATATAGTAGGCCTACTAAGCCTAGTAGTTGTTAGGATTCCCGCCTTCACTGTCTAGGTTCTGGAATCAATCTTCATGTCTTTATTCTCGAAGCCGCATAATGCAACCTTAATTACAAAGCATCCCATACTGTGCCTGTGGGTGAGATATTAGATTGTATACTAATGAACAGGCTTTCAAATGTTTAACGCGAGTGGTTGTACAATTGGGCTGCTGTACCTTTTTGATTACTGTATCTACCGTTGATCTGTTAAAAAGATGACAAAGCTTTCTAGAGCTTTGCCATAGAGAAACGCAATTCGAAACCGAAGAAGAGCCAACAATAAGTATACATGCATATTACCATATATGGTGTTGATATCTGTTAAATATATTCATGTCTTGAATTAATAGATAGAATTAATT